GAAAATTTAACAGATAGCTGGCATTGCACTCGTCCTAGAAAGCAAAAAAGAGAATTAAATTTTAAAAAATATAATATACATAAAATAGAATATAAAAATATTTTTAAAAAATATGCTACTTAAAATTATCGGTTTTGTTTTCAACAAATTTTACTTTTTCAATGGTTTTCAGCTAAAGGACAATTTTTCTATCAACTGTGGCATATTCTGTTCATGAGGTTGATTTGAATGAAAAGTGTCAGAATGTGTCCCAATTTTTTATTAGCAAAGCGGCATAACTATTTTTTTATTTTTCAAAACAAATTTGAATTATAAATTACGCATAATCAAATGAAATATTGGGTCAGTTTGACAATTAGCTTCTTTTTTTTGTTGTTGAAATTAAAACAATTATTATCAGACTGTATTTAATCACAAAAAAATATTGGTGATGCAGAGAGATTTATGGCAATAAGGGGGACATAACAAATTTGGAACACATTTCAAAGAAATAAAAAGAAAAATTGTATTTATAAATTATTTTTATTTCATGAAGTAAAAATTACATAAAACAAACATTTTGGGTAGTTATGATACGAGCAAGTTACAAAATAAAATACATACCGAGATTTTATTAAATTCATGCAATGTAGTACAGCATGAAGTTTGCTTTCATAACAGATCAACTGATAATACAAATTATTTTTCTGAACATTCTAATTATGCAATCACACACCATAATGTACAAAATTCAGAACACAATACTTAATTTTTCCAGAACTTATAAAAATAAATAAGATTTTTTACAGACCATATCAAAAGAAATCCTTAAAAAAAAATTAAAAAAAAAGATGTAACAGGAATATTATAAGATTATTGAAAAAATTTTCTGCAATACTAGGTCTAGAAAATGTTTTTAGGATAATTTTATTTTTTATTTCACTTGCTTAAAAAAATAAACATATAGACTGTGAATTGTTATCACTTTAATATTGAGGCACAAAGAGATAGTATTTGCCACACAAATTTTAAGTGAAAAAAAAAGTGTGTGATTGCATAATGTAAAAAAATATGAAATTTTACTCTTATTCAATTCAAATAGAGAGTATAAGGCAACTAATACTCCTTATAAGTATAAGTGAAATATATTTTGACCAGTATCACTTACAGTTAAACTTTTTAAATAAGATAAAAACAAGAAGAAAAAAAAATCTGAATAATTTATTTTACTCCCAGAAGTGTAACATGGGGGGTTTTAATATTACAGTAAAACATGCAGTGGTATTTGGCTGACAATATTCCTGACTAAAAATAAATTAATACACAGGGAACAACTAAAGCAAAAAATAAAATGCTATAGCACATATAATAAGGAATATTTCAGTCAACAACTAATTCATCATTTTTTTTTAAAAATAATTATACAATACAAGAACTTTATTCTTATCAACTTTATACACAACTAGAAAAAATAATAAAAAAAAATGCATTTTATTCATTAAAATAAATTATGCCACAGAGGGAAAAATAGTAGGTAATGATAATGTAGTTTTTGAGAAATTTAAACCTCGACAATTACAAAAAATAATTATATTTTATTACCCGTTCAATACAAAATCATTATTATTATATTTGAAGATACATTTGAATTCAAATGAATTAATCAAGAAGGGACTTTTAATCTTCAGCAATTACTTAAGTTAAAATAGAATGTTACAAATATGTTTTAACATAACAATTTTAATTCAAGGGGTCTCGTTATCCAAAAATTAACTGAAGCATAGGTGCCAACATGGATAGGAAAATATCCAATAGATTTTACAAAATATAAATTTCTCGATAACTGTTGCAATATGTACAAAAAAATTTTACACAAAAGAAAGTTTAGGAAATTTTTTTGTGATCAAAATAGAAAAACTGCAATATTTTTCAGTTATGACTAACATTAAATATACTTGAAATGTTATGTATTATGTTTATTCCTAATTTTGAATAACGATATGCATTTGATTCATCAAAGATAGATAGGATTTTTTTAATTGATTTAAAAAAAGAAGTTCTGAATAAAAATAAACTGAGCATTTTAAAACAAAAAAGTTTCCTATAAGTAAGGCTTGCTTTATTATGTATTAGTAATATTTATTAAATATTCAAGCAAGTAATAATCTGAAAATATTCTAATTTAATTGAGACTTTTTTAGGAAACTTACTCTATTTTAGGGAATTTTCTATTCTACTATAAGGGATAATTCTTGTACAAAAACTAGGAGAATATTTATTTAACCAAGAGAAACAGGTAAAATCAAGTAGTTTACTAGAAAATCCAGTACAGTTGGCAGCTACGCTGAAGTATCAAAAAATTTTTTTTTCTTTACATTAAAACTTGAAACAGAGGGGGGAAAAATCAGTTTTTTTATATGTATTATTAATAACATTAAGAATTGATTCAAGGCAGAAGAGATATTTTCCACAAAACATAACTTTAAAGGGATTTTTCGCATGGACACTTTTTTGGTGTTTTACTTGAATCCCTAAGGGGATTTTTTCCTCCTATTAAAGAGAAATCTTAGAAGTAAGCATTTTCAAAATTAAGATGATATATTTAATAAAACTGAGCATTGAACAAGCATAAGAAAATTATTAAAATTTAGACAACACACATCTGTGTGTATCATGCTTTATTTTATAAAAAATTTCTTTCATTTTCAAGTAATCCATAGAACTTGTTCCAACTTGTATATATGCAAATCACAGAAAACAATAAGTACAAGTTTTTGCAAAAATAAATTAATCTTAAATTGTTCTGATTTCAATAATATTTTGAAAAGAAAAATATGAATACAAAATTACAAGTCGAAAATATAATTCTTATGATAAAAGTATAATTTACAGATTTTACTTGAATAAATCTGTACAAAATGAATATGGAGATAATAGATATGAATGACATATAGATATAAATGACAGGACATATTTTGCACTGGCTTCAGTAAAATTTTCAAAACAATAAAAATAATTACAAAACAAAATTCTTACAAGGTTATAGAAATCAAATCAAGTTACCAATTTTAATGGCATTTATCAATATGGTACAATGGAAATTCTTTGCACTGGGTACCATTTTCATTGTAAATTAAAAACTACAAAATAAAAAAAAGATTTAAAAAAAAATTCGACCTATTTACCGGTTTAAATTGCAAACGGATAAGAAAAAGAACAAATGTAATTCACTGGGTATAATATTATTCAACAAAGGAATTAAATAAGAATACAAACATGTATTGAAATTGTATCTACACGAATTGTCATATTGGATTTAAAAAACGCATGAATACGAACTGTGATGCCGTGCTGTAAAAACGAATTGTGATATTGGATTCTTAAATCGTGTGAATAAGAACGATGATGTACAATTTTTAGATCGCTTGGAAAAGCGTCGCAAAGCATAACTTTTAAACTAATTAAATATGAAAATCGACATTAAAATTCTGGGAATAAGAATTGTGATATCAGCAGTTCCAAATATTCCAAAATGGTGAAAATTCGCCAAATCAAAAGAATCACTTGATTCGCTGAAGTCTGCAAACCAATGGTTATTAAGATAAAGAAAGTTCTACGATATTCACAGAAAAACCACATACCCTGCTTTTAGTTATTAGACTTTGAAGAATGATAAGAACAAAACATGGAATTCTGTAGAATATAATTCGGAACCGTAATACAGACCTATGCTGTAGATAAATCTTTTGGAATTGTTAATTTATTTTAACCAATATCAAAATGGGATATCATAAAGATAAAAACTGGAATAGAGATTATTAATTGCCGTGGTTTTAAAGCTTTATCAGCAATTAATGCATTTTAGTTTTTCTTCACACATGAAGTAAATTACACAAAATATAATAATGGATCATACACAGGATATAGAAGGAAAAATTTTTAAAACAGCATAAGATAAAATAACACATCCCTGGATAATTCTGAGACATGAACACAACTCACTATTGCTAGTTATAAGTGTATAGAATTTTAATAAAAAACAACCAAACTACAACATTATTAAAAGATTTTTTAGCAAATAAAAAAAAATTCTGCTCAGAGAACCTCTCAGCAGAAGCAAAAACAATATGATACAACCTTAAACTTCTAATGTTCAATACATATAAAAAAGAATGAATTAATAAAATAAAAAAAAATTAATGCACTAATTTAATAACTTTTTTCACTAGTTTAAATAGCATTTCATCTTTAATTGCATTTCAAAATATGAAAAAGATTATATTGAAAATTAAAAATATACAGCAAAGCAGATTGTTGTCACATTTATAAACAAGAATAAACAAAAATTTTTAAACAGAGCAAAAATTCTTATGAATACAAAAAAATCCTGGCTTTCTGAAAGAAAAAATACTTACAATAATTTGAACCAGAAGAAAAAGTTTTTTTTTTTAAATAAAGAATGCAGTAAAATTATTTAGTAATTTTACTTAATTTTGTAATTTTAAGTAATTATTTTGCATTTATCTCCTACATTTTAGAAAAAAAATACATTCAAAACTATTTTGGAAATAAAAACAAAAAATATAAGTGGATTCAGATTTTGATTGTGAATAAATATGATTAGCATATTAAAAAAAAAAAATTTTAAATATTAATTGAACATTCACTAATATCGGCTAAAATTGCATGGGATTTCAATGAAAAATAAATCACAATTTTCATAAAAAAACTCAAAAGCCAAAATGATACATTTAAACAGCAAGATAAATTAAAATATCAAAATTGCTGATATTAACCTTAAATTTGTTATGTTTAAACGTGAAAAAAAAATCAAAGCACATGTAGCTAAAATCACTATAAATATCACAAGATGTGGAAAGCTCTAAATTTCAGTAGGTTTAAAGAATAATACTGCAAAATAAGCCAGATCTCTATTGATTGTCTAAATCCAAAACACAAAAGCACACAAAATCTGTATTTACACAATCAGCATTTTTTCTCTCCTTTTTTTGATTTACAGAGTTTATCCAAATACCACTGCACTGTATAAAGCAAATCAGAAAAAGACTGAAATTGCAATGAATGTATAGTATGTTCTATAGAAATATATATTACACTTCATACAAAAAACTAACTAAAAAATTTCAGTGGCACAAAAAACACATAAATAAATAATTTCATGACAGAGCATGTTTGTATTATATGAGCCTGGACATGGATTTTCTTTTATTAAAGAAATAAAAGCGATAGCACTTTTTTCTTTTCTGATCCTCTGAAAAATAAAATATATAAATGCAACAATGAACATAATTCATAAAATATTTTATTAATTATTATACCCATACAGTATATTACTACTTTACAACACAAGTAAAAACAGATTTTTAACATGGAAAAGTTAACTATTTTCAAAGTGAGGCCTATTGATTAAAAATCCGTATCAACTGTTTAAACAAGTTTCTAGAAGGCTTAAAAATTTGGAAGGTTCATATTTCAGAAATTTCTAGATTTCAGACATTCAGAAATTTTTGAAATCCAAAATAAACCAATAGTTATGAACACATATTTAAAAAAAAAAAAAAAAAACTTTACCCAAAGTTCTACATTGTTTTCAAAATTTTGAAGCACACCACTGCATAATCTCATTTTGATATGACTGATACAATTTTAAATTCACAAAGTCTTGTCAATCATTTTCACTTTTCGGGTCTTTTTTTTTTTTTTTTTTTAATTTCCGCAATTTTTAAAATCCTGATTTTGTTATCGAATATAATTATGACTATCCAATCACTTTATTGAGAGCTGATTCTGTACTAAATTCCAATAATCTTGTTGATCCTTTTTTTCGGCAGCAATTGTGAAAATTTTTTTAAGGGTAAAACACTATTGCATCATCATAGTTGACCAGACAGCCCAATGTGAGCTAATGCCTTCCTCTGAAGATTTCTCCATGACGATTTCCGATTTATCTTTGATCTCCAATTCTTTTCATTAATTGCGAGAAAATCAGACTCCACTGAGTCAGCCCATCTGTTCCAGTGGGTCTAAAAAGCAGTATCTCTTTTTATTGTGTTGTCATCACTCATTCGAATTACGTGGGAGATCCAATTCATTCTATTTATTTTTATGTATTTAATCATATATATTTTTATATCATATATATTTTTATATCATATATATTATATAAAAATATTTATATATATATTATATCATATATTTAATCATATATATTTTTCGTAATATTTTTATGTATTATATCAGGTTGTTTATAAATCTTGTACAGTTCAAAGTTAAATCTCCTTCTCCAGTTATTGTTTTCATTTACACCACCAAGTATACCCCGCAAAATCTTTGTCTCAAGTATTGCGATACACTTTTCCTCCAGTTTTGTCATTGTTCAAGCTTCAGAAACGTATGTTCAGACTGGCCTGACAAAAGTTTTGTAGATTAAGAACTTTGTTTTTCTAGAAAGAAACCTAGATTTAATAAATCTTCTCAGTCCAAGGACAGCCCTATTCACCAGACAGAGTCGGTTTTTTATTTTAGGAATAATTCTGTTGTCAATGGTAATAATTGATCCATACCCTCCAACTGCTACGGAATTTCCGTAGTTTCAGAAATCTTCTTTTCTCGGANCCTAAGTAAGTAAAACTCCCTACTGTTTCAAATCTATAAGAATTTATTTCAAGATAGGGGTAAAACACTATTACATCATCATAGTTGGCCAGACAGCCCAATGTGAGCCAATGCCTTCCTCTGAAGATTTCTGTTCTTTTTCTGTTTCTTGAGAATAACATATATTTTGTTTTCTCTACATTTATGACTAAGCCCATTTGCCTTGCAGCCATCTCAAGGGCAATAAATGCCTCTTTCAGGGCAGGAAGGGAACGAGCAATTATATCAACATCATCAGCATATGCAAGTAGTTGTACTGATCTAGTAAAAATGTGACCACTGGTATTGATGTTTGAATCACGAATAACTCTTTGAAGTACAATATTAAAAAGAAGACAGGAGAGAGAATTTCCCTGTCGAACACCGGTGAATGTGTCAAGATTTTCTGACAGAGACCCCAGAAACTTAATCTTACACTTTGTATCTTTCAATGTAAGTCTCATCAATTTAATGAGTTTTGAAGGCATTTTAAAAGTATTCATTGTTTCAAAAAGATAATTTCTATTGATACTATCAAAAGCTGCCTTGAAATCAATAAAAAGATGATGTGTTTCAATGTTAAATTCCATTGATTTCTCTAAAATCTGACAGAGACAAACACTATTACAACTTTTATATTTAAGTGTTAACTTTTCGAAGCACTATTTTATTGTAAATCTATCAATTTTTCAGAAACTATTGCTAGGTACTTTCACATAGTTCTCAAAATCAATTTTTTTCGAAATACAAATTTCTGCATGTTACCCTCAGGTTTAAAATTGATTCAACTATTTTTTCTTAGTGAAAATAAATAAACAATATGTATTTTATAGCAGTATATATTATATTTTATGGCTGTATGCATTACATTTTATCACTTTAAATATACAAACTTATAAAATAATTGGTTTTCTCTCTACCAAAATCAATAAAATGTCTTGTTAAACACAATCTTGTAGTTTTCTTTATTTCTTAAACTAGCAAAAATGCTTGGGAGTTTTTTGAAATGTAAACTTTTTGAACTAATCATAAATTTTAACAAAACTACATTTATGGGGTTGCCAATCAAATATCTGGAAAAAAATATTCCTGTGTCTTCCTTGTACATATTATACACAATATATTAAGAAGAAACACACAACTGTATACTTGTATTGTATTGGGCTAACTATACTAGCAATCACTGAAAAAACTTAAGAGAAAAAAAGGAGAGCTAAAAATACTTAAATACTGCTATAGTAAATGAAATAGTTTAGTATAGTTGGAATATGATCATTAAATATCCCATAGATTATGCATTGAGAAGTCACAATTTTTTAAAAGACGAAAATAAGAAACAAAATTTCCTGATTATAAAGAAAAAAAATCAAAAGTACCAGTTATTTTAGGTGATTTTTTAAATCCCCTGTATTTTCTCTATGAAGTGGCAACTCTGATTTACCTAAATTTAAACGCCTGCTCACGAGAGGAACAAACAAGTGAGTTTTATGAAATTTCAGACAGTAAAACTGAGCTGGATTGAAAAAAAAAAAAGAAAACCAAAAAACACAGGTCTCATAACAATTTTACTTTAAAACTTTAAGATACACCCAGGGTAGAATTTTTTCGAGCTATCTGCAACAAAACTCTCTAGCACTATTATCGTTTTACAAGATACTTTTAATAATAACGAACATATATGTTACTAATTTAAAAAATAAAAATTGCTGTATTTACAAAAAAAAACTTCATAATTCTTTCTTAATTGAACTTGTAAGAATTTTTTATTTTAATACTATAGGTGATATTCTTTCATTTTGTTGGGGGAGGGCAGCGGGAAAGCATAAAGTATTTCCTTTCTGCGACAATGTCGCCGTGTCGCTGCGATTCTGTCATGGGGTAAGAGACCAGATGCATCACTTGCCGAATCTCTCAATGGAAAAAGAAAAGAGGTGAGAGGGAGATTACTTACTTATTTAGTGGATGAAGAAGACACTGCATAGATTTAATCAAGATCAGGTACTACTTGATGAGCACTAAGAGACTTCTCAGAGGATTGATTCTGTGACGTAGGTGTTGTGTCCACAGTGTAGATCTTAAGTGCTCTTTCTTTACGTGGAGAATATACATTTTTAAGAACTTTATTAGATCTGAAACAGTTATTTCAATCTCAACAAGACAATCAAATAAGAATTTAGAGCAACAAAGAGAAGAAAAAAATGAAAATACCAATGCTCGAAACATTTTCAGCCTAATAAATGCTTACATTTTATTATAAATAAGTTTAATTCTCAAAAATAGTGATGTCTACAAAATACATGCCAAAGTTAAACCTTCACATTCTCTGACATCTTATAATAAACTTCATTTTATGTTACTGGAATATTTCTCTGAACTTTCCATGATGACAAAACGAAATAAAAATATGAAGTAGGTGCAATATTTCAACTTAACATTAGAAAGACTGGATTGTGAAAGAATAACTAATATGTAAAGAAATTTGTTGAAAATTAATTTTAATATTTTTTTATATTATTCAAAGTTATATAACAAGTTATTGGTAAATATTAACAATAAAAATTTATATGTTGTACAAAAAGTCACAAAATTCTAAGAAATTGTGTCATAATATTTGTAATTGTTCTTTTAATTGAAATTAAAAAGCAGTCAAAGCGACTTCCTTGGGTAATCTAGTTGTTCATATTTAGAAATTTCTCGTTTGATTTCATAAAATATTTTAAGCAGATGTTAAATTAAGAGTTATAAAAATAATGTTGCTTAAAACAATGGAAACTAAATGCTTATCATACCATTTAAATCACATAAAATATAATTGATCAACCCCTTTTGTTATTTTTTATTCAGCTCATCAGACAATTGGAAATTTTAAGGATGGGACTAACGGAGTATGCCCAATATTCGTAGGGATGAAACGAATATTCGTCTAAGTAATTTTTGGAAACTTACATTTTAACAAAGTTATTATTATTACATAGCTGCCAAGATGGATAGAAAAAAATTTAGTAAATTTTACAAAATACATATTTCCCGATAACTGTTGCATAATTTACTAAACATTTTACATGAAGGGGATTTTAGGGATTTTTACTGTCATCAAAATACAAAAATTTTAACACTATAAATGGCCTGCAATGTTTTCCATTTATGATTGACATTAAATGAATTAAATTTGAAATGTTATTTTGTTGACTCATAATTTTGAACACTAATAAACATGTAATTTATGAGTCATAGTTGAAAGTCATTGTTTTTTAAATTAATCTAAAAAGGAAGCTCTAAATAAGAATAAATTGAAAATTTTAGGAAAAAATGAATAAATACGCTTTAAACTAAATGCTATATATGAGGCTCACTTCATTGTGTATTAGTAATATTTATTTAAATATTCAAGCAAGCAGTAAATTGGGTAAAAATTTTATTTTGATAGAGATTTTTTTAAGGAAACTTACTCAGTTTTAGTGAATTTTCTACAATATTAAAAAAAAAGGAAAAAAAAAAGGAAAAAAAAGCTGAACTAGCAGAAACTGGAAAAAAAAACTAGTAGTCGACTGGCGAATCCACTAGAGTTAGCAGCTATGTTGTTATTATTGGCATTATATATATATATTTTTTTTTTGTAGTTTAAAAGAATTTGAGGAATTGATACTAGATTCCATTACAACAAACCAAAGTTCAGTACTGCTGATTTTTTAAATTATATTCAGGCAAGTAAATTTGTTGTTTATTCAACACATCTTGTTTTGAAAACTTTTTATTTGTTTTCGCTGTTTTTCTTCTCAATTATAGCACAGCATTTTAATAGAGCATTTCTGATAGACTTCAGTCTTTTGCTGTCACTTTCCAGTGCTAAAGTTATGTTTAAAGAATTAAGAAATTTTTTTTTCTCTTCTTTTTTTTTTTTACGCATCTATAAACTTTTTTTAGGGTAAATTATTATCAATTATTTTTTAAACCATATCCAATTTTGTTAATGTTATTGATACAAATATTAATTTCAGTGATATTTTATGTCAAATTAATAAAAAATATTACCACTAGAATAAAGGTTTTTTGCAACTATTTCTACAATTGTGTAAATTGATTTTAGAAAGGATTTGCTGGTTCAAACAAATGATTTTTTATTTATTAATAACTAAACCTATGTTTTAATATTTTAATTTTTTATTCATATGAATACTTTTAGTCTGATTCGAACCAAATGAAAAGCTGTTTTGAGTTCAAAGGCTAATGGGAATCTATACTTTAAACATAAATATGTAATATTTAAATGTTTAAATACCATTGCGTTTGAGGGATATAATCTGTAGAAAATAAGTTTATGTGAAGATAAATTAACAATGTCTTTGAAAATGCTTAGAATAAAATAGAATGTCACCAAATGTATGCTCTGATAGTTTTGAAAGTTATTTAAATATTATTATTATAGAAAAATTTTAGATAAAAAAGATCCAGATCCTTAAAGATGCTTTATTTTTTTCTATGCATGCGACAATTAAAAGCTTAATTGAAAATAAGTGGGGGCTGATTTACTTAATTTTCAAGTTTATTTTTAATTTTTTTTTCTCGTATCAAAGTAATTAAATTTGTATGGTATGTATGCATTGTGCTTTCACTCATTTTTATAATACAGTACAGAACCCGTTATCCTGAAATCAGAANAGATTTATTAACAAATGACGATTAAATTCTACTTTAACTATAAAGAAAAAAAAGTCTACTCATCTTTTCCAAATATTTTAATTATAAAAACAAATGTAAAGAATATATAACATACAACCCCATGGCAGAATTTTTTAGAACGTTCTGCCCCCCCCCTCCCCAATATACTAGAAAGGCTTCTTTTAAAAATTACTCTGTAGAATAAAACAGGTTTCCAAAAGTTCTGCAGAAAAAAAAAACCTAATTATTTTTGTTTCCGCTTTAAAAAAATTCTTTCTGCAAGAAATCGAATGTTCAGTGACAAAGTGTTTCTGCCACAGGGTGCACAACATATGCTTCAATACAAACTTACTTTGCATTTTCTTTATTTGTTATTTCTCGTTTTTCTTCCTCAGTAAGTTTCCTTAATTCTTCCCTTTTATCTCTGTGGAAAATCATTTCATGCATCAAGAATATGTGGAAAATTTATACAGAAACATATTTATTAAAACAAAATCAACCATGAAAAGTGAAGAGTGTACATACATAAATAATTTATAATATGCATAAATCATGATGCAAAACAGTTGAAATTTTTAAATAAACTGAAAAGAAATCATGAAATAAATGCAACATCTGAAATTCAAATTAACGAAAACATGATTTTTTTTTTGTTATTTTAATTTAAATTAAAAAAAAAGAGTACTAATCCGTTCTCTATTGTACACCTTACAAAAATTTAAGGTACGTTCTAATTAAGGTACACCTTACAAAATTTTTTAAATTAATTTACAAAAATTTAAGGTGTTTTGGAGGTTGTTTTGAGGTGTTAAGATTGGTTTGAAGTAGGTAACAAAAACATCCTTCAGAAATCTACCTCATAAGGTGCATGAAGTTGTTTTCTTTACACTTAAGGTTGTTTTGAATCTTCTATCAACTTCGTAGCAACATGCTACAACTCAAGTTGTTTTGAGGATGATTTAAATCTATGTATCAACCTGTTGAGGGAGGTTGTTTTGAAGGTGTGCAGGTTACTTTTTTTACACTCCAATTTGAATTGAGGTTAATTTAAACACACTTCATACCAACTTGCTAAGGAAGGCTATTTTGAAGTTGTACAGGTTACATAGGGGAAGGGGTTGGACAAAATAATGGAAACACTTCAATACTAACACTTTTTTTTATTTCTCAAAAAATACTGAGCAAACCAATTCATCAATTTTGAAGTGATCTCATACATAAAGTTTAAAGCTTTCAAGGTTTGAGAGACCAACAATAAATTAAAAACATATGCCAAAAAATGCAGCAAGAAATTAGATACATAATACTATTATATGGGTTACTATATGCAATAATTACACAAAATTTTATAAATCTAGTTCAAAAATATTTATGAAGATACAGAAATTTTTATAAAAAACGAATATTTTTGATCTACATTATTTTATTATATATTTAAAAATATTCAATAAAATTAAACAAAACTTAAACAATTTAAAATTGATTACAAAATTACTGCTTTAAATTTGAGTCAAATTCGCTGATAGCAACAAATAAGATATGTTTATACTGCTCATGCTTGAAAATAATTTTAAAAAACGTTTTATGGTAATAAATAATTTTGATGGTATTAAGAAATAAAACATGCAACAGAAAAGATACTTTTATGGAGGATGATTCCCAACTGTCATTTTTGTATTATTTAACAAAATTTATTAACAAATGACAATATTTCTGTAATGATGGTTCCAAGAACAAAGTTTGATGGCAGTAAGAAATAAAACATGCAAAAGTAGATACTTTTATGGGGGATAAATCCAACTGTCATTTTTGTATTATTTAACAAGATTTATAAACAAATGATAATATTCCTATAATGATGGTTCCAAAAACAAAGTTTGTCGGTATTAAGAAATAAAACATGCAAAAGAAAAGATACTTTTATGGTGGATGATCCCTAACTGTCATTTTTGTACTATTTGACAGGAGTTATTAACATTTATTAACATATTAAATTTATTAACAGATAATTTTTGTCTTTACGGCTACTGATGTTCAACTCCGAATTAGTTCAATTTATAACTTTGAACCCAATCAAGAAGATAATGAAACTTCTGGATAAAGTATAGGGAGAAATTCGCTTTGTGGAGGACTTTCTTATGGAACTAACTCGCATTCGAGTTACATGGAGAGGAAAACCTCCCAGGGTCAACCGGACGACAAGGGGACTCTTAACCCGTGATCTATCTACCGCTGAGGATATTTCACGTCAGCACTGTGGTCTGTTTAAATTACCTGTAATAAATCACTTGTCCATCATCCCCGTTAAAGAAACGCCAAGGATTATCAGAAGCAGTTAACCACTCTAATTCATCATGAATTGATAATAGTGAGTTTTCACAAGGAAAGGTACCTTGACCCTATAATAGAAATTATAAGAAAATATAAATATTTATTTTTTTTTGAATAAAAAAAAACTATATTAAATGTAACAAACTATAAAATAATTTGAAATCTCTTTCATACCTTAGCAAATTCTATTGAGTCTTCTGGAATTTCACTAATTTCAGAAAGCTGAAAAAAACAAAAATTCTTGAATGATGGTAGCAAAATAAGAACATATTGATATTCATATTTTTACAGCTGGAAAAGCATTAAACTTTAAACATATTGAAAGTTTCTTCTGGTAATCTACTACAGGGTGTGTAGCCAGATTTTTCAACAAAAATAAGCACTTTTTAAGCTCTCAAAAAATTTTAATCACTTCCAAAAAAGAAAAAAATAATAATGATTAAGATGTGTGCAGTAATACTAATAATTATTTACTTCTATTATTTAATGTTCTTAATTTATAAACATAAACTTAATAAAATTCAAAAAACTTACATAATCATGACAAAATAACTAGTTTCTGACAAATATTGCAGAGAAAATTGTGAAAATCATGCTTTTTTTGTAATTTAGAACGCCCAATTGATAAAGCAAAGAAAGAAATCTCTTTTTAAAAGATAGAAAATTAAGCACTTTTCAAAAACTCCGAACAAAAAAAAGGTTTAAGGGCTTCTAAAAAAATGTAAATCAAAATTAAGCACTTTTTAAAAATGCTACGCACCCTGTACACCAAAACATTCCTTTCTCATAGAATCACCTTTCATATAACCCTGATTTATATCAGATGATGCATTGATAAATACACTGATTGAAATCAAATTTCTTTACTTTCAAAAACATAGATTAGAGTGTTCATAAAACATTTCACAATGAGATTGTTTAATTTTTGTTAAAAATTTATTGTAAATATATCAATATTATTAATAAATTTCAATTGGTCAAATTACGTATGAACTTGAAATGCAATAAACCCAAGTACTTTTAAAAATTTTAAAATGCATTTGGATCTTTCACAATGCAAATTAAGAACAATGAAATTTTTTTGTTTTTATATGGGTCATTCTCACAAAAGCAGTCATTTTCATGTCCCCAGTATATTTTATGTTTGTTTTACAGCTTACGAAGAAAGTAAATTCAGGGAAAGTGTCCTTCAGAATGCAAGCTAACAAAAGAATAAAAATAAAATTATCAATTTTTATTTTTTATTTATTTTAGGTAATTAAAATATACCAATATGTCATTCCCTCACTTGTCCCCACTGCTGATTTAAAAAAAGAAAAAAATTGTTTCTGAAATAAAATTTTTTTTTTTACAAATTCGTGTTTTTTATTTCAGAATACTGAAATATAGAATTCAGAAAATCAATTTTAAATTTAATTTCTGATAAAAATATTAACACAGCACTATTTTAAACTTTGTCCCCAGTGTTTCGCGTCATTCCCTCACAACAATGTTCTTATCACCTGCAATCTTCTTAGAATAAAAATATTTTAATAAAAACTTCAGAAGTTAACAACTGGCATCATAGAACAAAATTGCAGTATGTTTCCATCTTCAACTTAAAGAAGCTTTGCTGTGGAATAAATTTGAATGAATCAAACCAGGTAAAATTTTTTACATTTGTCATTCCCTCATGTCGTTTTTTAGAGTAAAATAAAATACAACTTCATCGAGAAAGTGGATAATTATATGTTGCTTTCTTGTATGAATATAATTGTATGTGATTGACTTCAGAAATTAATTAGGCCTAACTGTTATTTTTAAATTTTATTGAATTCGTCATTCCCTCACTAGTGTATAAAGTGAGGGAATGACGCTGAAGTGAGGGAATGATTCAAGATGAGTATATTATTAAATTTTTTTTTGTTCAATCGTGCCAGCCAATTTTATTTCCCAAACCTGTAAAAACTATTAAATATATAAGACTAAATTATAATAAATATTAGATATACTTAGTATGTTATCATTTTCAAACTTTAGGTAGATGTAACTTAGATAAAAACATGTATTAAAATAAAATATCATTCCCTCACTATTAGTGTCATTCCCTCACTTTTTAAATAGTGAAAATAATTAATTTACTTATTAATTAATTTGAAAAATAAATTAAAAAATTAATAAATTAATTTATTAAATTAATTAATTTATTAAATTAATTAATTTATTTATTAAATTAATTAATTTATTTAATTAATTTATTTATTAAATTAATTAATCTATTTAATTAATTTATTTATTTAATTAATTTATTTATTAAATTAATTATTATAAATTAATTATTATAAATTAATTTATTATAAATTAATTAATTATAAATTAATTAATTATAAATTAAATAATTATAAATTAATTATTTAAAAAATTACTTAATTAAAATATTAAGTATAATTTATAGGATATATACTTTCTTTATAATGCCATTACATATTTCTATTAATATAAAAAGTTTCAGAGCTTTTTATTCACTTTACTTCTTTGGGATTTTATGAACTGAAAAATGACAGTTTTTGTGAGAATGACCCATATGCAGATAGTTATAATAAATTGTTATTGACTATGATATTATCTACATAAAAAAAGCGACAGTAATGAAAATAGCACTAATTTATATTTTTAAAACATAATTTTCAAAACATGCTATTTTAATATGGCAATAATAATTAATTAATTCTGAATCTTAAAAAGGAAATTGTTATAATATGATGAAATGGCAATTCAGATTGCCATGGAAATGAAATGGCAATTCAGATTGCCATTTCATTTAATGCAGTTTATTCTTTCAATAAATGGGTAAGTTACTTTATAAAATTATTTGTCAAAATGCAGTTAAAGAGCCTGATTTTTAACAATTTATTTTGCCACATTAAAATTTAAAGAAAAAAAAGTTACGAAATAACCTTTTTATTCGTTTCTTTCAACCACACTTCTCCTCCATATTTATAAAATATAATGCAAACAAATTTATGATACTAATTCATAATACTTAATTTATTTAGTACTCGAGTTTCAAATGTTTTCCAATTATATTTCATTTTAGCTACATAAGTTGCATAAAAAAAATGAACTACAAGCAAAATTTTTAAGGACTTTTTACAAAATCAATAAAAAAGATTTGATTCAATTACTTTACTTTTACATTTTAAAGTTACTTTTAATTTACTTCTTGAAAAAAAAAGTGATTTTTTAACAACTGTAAAATTTTTCAAACAGCATTTTTGAAAAATAAAATTTTTAATAATTCTCAGACCCACTAATATGCTTAAAGCTATCTTCAAACTTTCCAAGGATGAGAATGGTCAGAAAGCAAAATAATAGAATAGTTTGCTTTAATGCTCTTTTCTCATTTGCACCTATTATTTTTCATTAAAATATGTCCTAATTAGACCAATTTGATTGACATAAGACATTTTTTATGCCAACAAGATGCTGATACAATGTAGGAAAATTGAATTGAGCCTGGCATTACTACACATGCAAATTTCAAAAATGAGCAAATTCAGTATAAATTCACTTTTTTTCTGATCTTTTTCTACTGTATTATTATGTGCACATTTTGAATCAAGAAGATGCTTTTATAAAGCCCACAGTTATTACTATTGATTTCAACAAGGTACAAGGTTTTACTTCGATTTTATTGCGACACTAAAATTTCGATCAGGCATTTGTGTACTAACTTTTGAAAAAGCTTGATTCAAGCAAATTTCAACCTATTTTACATAGTCTTGTCTTCTGGTTGCTGTTGCTACAGATTTCCACATGGTTTTAAAATCGTTAGCTTTTTTAAAAATTTTATGAAAATTAAGAAAAGTGGATTAATTTTACTCCTGTCTTTAAGATCAAATGTACTGTTCCAATAATTTTTTTTAATCAATAGAAACTTTAACAGTTTCCCTGAGAACATCTCTATCATTTGTACATGTATGCTACATATCAGTCAGTTCAAATATAATTTGGAATAGCACACTTTTCTACAGTATTCGTAGCCAAATCTTTCAACAAAAACAAAGCATCTTTTAAGCACTATATACATTAACAAAATTCAAAATAATTTTCAAAGATTTTACACGATCATGATAAAATAACTAGTTTCTGACAAAGAACTCTTTTTCTTGATTAAAATAGTCACCAAAAAAAAAAGATCGAGAGATTTTTCAGTTTGAAAAATGAGGGTGGAAAATGAAGCCTGAAATTTAGAATACCTAGCAAAATGCAGCAGAGCTACACATGAGAGTGCTAAACTCTAACTTAACTCAGCTCAGCAGATGCACATGCGGACCTGCAAGCATTTCATCAAACATGTAAAATGATTGCCGCTTTTATACATTATGGATCCACGGTACGCTAAAATGGATTGTGGTTTAATGAATTATGAAAACGTTGAATATAACAACATGAAAAGCATTCTTTTGCATAATATGTGCTGAAAACCAACATAGTAAAGAAAAAAAATCATATTTTTGAAAAGGATCATTTTGAAAGTCAAACACTTTTTAAAAACACCTAATGAAAAAAGCACCTTTAATGGCTTCAAAAAAACAAAAATAAGCACTTTTTTAAAACGCTAGGCACCATGTTNTGAATAGAACAACATGAAAAGCATTCTTTTGCATAATATTTGCTGAAAACCAACATGGTAAAGAAAAAAAATCATATTTTTGAAAAGGATCATTTTGAAAGTCAAACACTTTTTAAAAACACCTAATGAAAAAAGCACCTTTAATGGCTTCAAAAAAACAAAAATAAGCACTTTTTTAAAACGCTAGGCACCATGTTCTAGCAATTGACAAAATACAATCACAGGCTTTTCCACTTAATGGTTAATCATACAATTGCCGAACATGTGTAACAAATTGAAACAGTGCATTGATTGCAAAGGAAGAGAAAAAAAGAAATCGTGGAATAAAAATTAGTTTTTAAAAAACAGGGGTTATTAGCAGAACCACTAAATAAGAATTTTGATTCAGTTTCTCGTCAACAGTACACCGCCAAAATGATTCGTCTGAGACACTGTGTGTCTCGGATGAATCATTTTGGTTAACTCTGTATTTAATAAATGGAAAAAATGTATTGAGAAATATATTTAAAAATAACAAACACTGAATTATTTTCTAAGACTTAATACACAATAGTGCTAGGCACTGTAAAATAGGTCAAATTAGTTTACTTTTTTAGTAATGGTGAGAGTTTTGGTATCATCAAAAACTATTTCTTTGAAAGAGTCTAACTTGAAAGCAGCTGGATGCCACCTGCGAGTGAACAGAACTAGTTGAGTAGTTGATGTGACAGGCTCAGCATCTAAGAAGTTTAAATACATATGAACCAAGACATTATGTAATATCATTAGTAAAACAACTTAATCATATTTGTATTTAACATATTGATTTAAAAAGTAGAGTTCAAACGCCTGAGTCAGCTATAGAGTGCAAAATGTAAATGATATTAGGTAAATTGTTAAAAGAGTGTCGTAAGCAAAGTCTGACACAAAAAAAGGGAGAAAAACCATTGGGCTACTTAAGGGTTGCATGTCTCTTATGTTTCATTAATGAGTAAATCCCCTACATACTACTATGGTAATTATTAATTACTCCATTTTAATGAGACAGTAATAAAAACATCAATTTTTATTTCAAATTGTAAATAATTTAGATAATTATTATGAAACATTATTATAGAGATAACTATAAGAAAACAGGTAACTATCAATTTTTTTAATACTATATTCAAGTGAATTCATATTCATTAAATATTTTCACACAATTCAGTAAAAATTGGTAAGTTTCTAATTATATGAGAAGGTTTAAATTGAACAGACAGTACGAAGAGTTACTAGCTACTATTCTACTGAATATATTAGAATGAAACTTCATATATATGTAACTTAGATTATTGGGCTTTTTGCAAATAAATGGCACTGAACAGATAAAACCACATACAAATACGCCCATTCTCCTATTGTTGAACGACCAGGTATGCCTATAGAGAACGCAGATACATAAATAAAATATTCTACTCTTTTTCATATTATTATATTCTTGTTATGTTATCACATTCTTGCTATGATATTCTTGTTATGTTATCACATTCTTGCTATTATATTCTTGTTATGTTATTACATTCTTGTTATTATATTCTTTTAAAATTTCAGATAAAATTTTAATTTTTTAAAAAAGAAACCTTGATTTTAAGAACATATATTTGAAATTTCTTTCAGATCTGTATACTACTACCACCAGTTTTACTTTAAACTACCAGATTAAAGTTTACTTTAGAGCTAGAGTATAACATACTCAAAAAACATTAGCTAAATTTAATTATATATTTTCTTTATTTAAATTTAAAATTGAATTGGCACAAAATCAAAATTAGAATAAACTAGAGTATGAACCCTGTAGAGCGAAAAAAATAAAATGAACAAAAGTTAGAAGTAACACCCTCTTTTAGAAAATAAATAAAACGTATCCAAAGAGCAGCCTTGGTCACGTTTAGTAATGAGAATTTGTTTATTGTGTATTTGAACAAGATTATGTGAATGGACATTGTAAGGAAGATTTCAATGTCAATTATTAAAGTGTGGATAATAATAGGGTTCAGAAACAGGTAGATAAGGAAATTGTCAGTTTGAAAAGGATAACGAGATCTTTCGTAGATTACATCAAACACGGCTTTGAAATCTTTTTTGTTTAAATGAAGTTTCAGTGAATTTAAATGGATCATTGAAAATTAGCCCTCTTGTTTAGAACATGAAAACTTACTGTCTGTAAGAACCATACATGGCTTTTGCTTTCGTTACTTGTAAGGAAAATAAAAGTACATATTTTTAATTGTACTTTTTAAATGTAGTACTTTTACTGGTTTTTCGTTATTTTTTTAAAGAAATAAAACAAGTATTTGTAACATCAATGTCAAAAGAAATAATTAGTTATTCAAGAAATTTCGTGCAAATTTTTCACAAAAATTTTCATCTCCTACTAGAAAGATGGCAAGAGGTCATGACCATTTAAAACAGTTTTTTCCATTAAGGCCCATTCTTTCCACAAAATGCACAGTTGCTCTGAGTTAGAATGGTGTTTTATTAAGATAAGTTAATAAATATTGAAATGTTTCACACCCATTCAACATGATTTTTCTCCCCATCATACAACAATTCAATAAAAGTATAAATGCTATGTGTCATTTACCTGGTAAAAATTCTACAAACATTTCTGAATTTTGATCTATTGGTATGTCTTTTTCAAATTGTAAATGATCTAGATAAATGGCACCAGGACTTTTCCAACTTTTTTTCCTTAGACGACATCTATTGAAAAGTGTTTAAAAAAAAAAGAAAGCCATTTATAAGACAGACTGAGAATACAACACAGAACGAAAATAGAAGTGAATGAATGTACCTATTTAGAGGAATGTCCATACTACATTTTTCTTTTAATTCTGCAAGAATTTCCTTTTTGGCTGTCAGGACTGTCATCCCTTTGGTTAAAACACAGTCTGAGAGGAACTTGATGGGCTAATAATAATCATTAAGTAAAGATATCAAGTCAATTTATAATTTGTATCAACTTGTTTTAATACATTAAAAACTCTGTCTATAGAGAAAGTTTTCCTTACTAACTAAGGGGATCAACCTGATAGTCAATGCATAAAATATACATTCAAGTCCTGGGAAATCTTCTAAAAAAATTTTTTTACATCCTTTATTAATAATACAGTAGAACGTCGGATTTATGTTGTCTGGCTTCCTGCGTCATTTTCGTGGGCAAATTGCCAGTACCAACAATTTTAAATTATCCCGGATTTTACGTAACCCTTTAGAGGAAAGTCATGCTTAACACGTTTTTCTAACAGGACAAAATAGTTTTTTGTGCGAAAGCTGGCACAAATTTTTTCTTTCTTTTTTGTGAAAGGGCGATTTTCCACCAGTTAAATTCAAGAGCAAAAACAGAGGAAGGGTGGTTAAAGGAAGTGTGGGAGCTTAAATTTTAAAATTTGCAAAAGTGAAATTTTTCCAGTTAATTTCAGATTTCAGAATAACTTAACTGGTTAGGTTATCATTTGCTTCTCTTGATTAAAGTGATTTACAAGATGTATCTAAAGAAAAATTAAATGCTCTGGAAGCTTCAGATTTCATTTCTACATTATTGAACCGGCAATGGTTTAAAAAAAGCCGGCTTTCTGGTATTCAACAAGAACATAGGTCTTTCAGAATAAAATTGAATGGCTGAAGATCTTCCAAAGTTAATGACGCATATATCAACAGTAACACACATTCCATTACTTTCCAATCCTTTTAGTTTATTAAAGATTTAATGTCTGTTCTTGATGATAGTGATAAAAACAACAAAGATAAGTAAAAAATATTCAAGGATATACCCACAACTGATTAAGAGTTTCAAAGCTAAAAATCTCTAAAATAATATTTACCAGTATATGCTTAAGTAAACCAAAAAGCAAATTTGTGTACAAGAATAAGTATTGACAGGGATATTGATCTTAAAAAAAAAAAAAAAAAAAAAAGAGCAAAGAATACAAATTTTTTCTAATAATTCTGTATGTGTCCTATTATTAAAAAGTGCCTGTTTTCAAATTGCATCCCCCCTGATTTTGCATTTGCTTATTTTGTGGGTTTTTTACGCTAGTTTGATGGAAAACAAAATATCGGGGTTCCACTTAAAATAGATAAAATTTTCAATAAGTATTAAGTTTTAAACTCTAATATTATGTGGTAATATTGATTATTGTTATTATGACAAAAAAGCTAATAATAATGGTTATAAATTAGCTAAGAAAACAATTAATAAATGGTGTTATTGAAAATCAAAATATTTTTTGAATACCAAGTTAAGTGTTTGCCTTACTTCAGTTTCATTTAAGCACAACTGATAAATTTTGACTTTATATTCTCCCTTGCGCAGAGCTCTGCCAAGTTTCACAGCCAACTAAAACAATAATAAATACATTTTATAAAGTAGAATAAATTCATACGTATAAGTAATCATTCATATACTTAAATTTTTTTTTTACTAAATTACTGTTTCAATTGAAAATTTAAATTTTGTAGACTACAATTCAACTAAAATTTAAGTAATTAAAATATAAAATAAATCAGTTCAATCTAGTAAATTCTTGAGTTTTTTTTTGTCTTAAATTCAGATTATAAAAGTTACTTCAATCTGAGAAAGTTCAAAAAAAATTAATTTCCCATATTAAATGTAAAACTAGTAAAAAAACGTTAATTTGGTAGAACCTAAGTCAATCATTTCTCGTAAGATCATTCTTTAAGAATGATAAATACAGGAAAAACAAATGTGGGTCAACGTTGAATACCAAATAATGAAGTTAAAATTAAGTAAAGTAACAAAGAAGTAATGAGCTTGAAAATAATCAATTTACAATAAGTATAATCATCTTAATAGAAAAAACTATAATGAAAATAAAAAGAAGATATATTAACGCATTCATTTTTTGTAAATTTATGTGAGTACAAAATATTACTAATTGTTTCAAATGCTCAAGGGGACTTCAACAAAATTTTAGCCCTGGTTGTATTTCAATTTTTTCATCTTGATTGGTATCGTTGCTACCATTTCTTGAACTGATATCACAAGTTTTAACATGCTCATCAACCGACTCATAAATATCAAACCTGATGGAGGCCTTTTCCCAAGACAGTAACAAATCCTTATTTCCTCCCTATCACTCAGGAGTTAGTTTTTCTTGTTAAAACAAAATAACTTCATTATACAGTCAAACCCTGCTATAGTGAACATGGTTTATATTGAACTCACGGATATAGTGAACAAAATGTTAGCTCCCGTGCCTTGCTACACATGTATAGTATAATTTTTTGAGGATATAGTGAACTAAAAAAAGAGAGGAAGATTGATATTATGAACTTTTTTTCTGTCGACTGATTTATTTTCTTCATTTTTTATGTAATAATTTTGAAATTACCTCAAAATAAGTACATATATAGATTTTTAAAATACCATCTATAGCATGGAATGCCGCAAAAAGCATTTTATTTTGCTTCATTATTTGCTTATATGTTTGAATTGTTTCAGCATTCAAAGAAGACGCAATTTTCATGTATCTGGACAAATGCTTCAAGTCAAAGCAGATGAATGCGCTGAGCGATTTGGTGAGACTGCTTTTATGCTCTCGAATGCCTGGGTAGACAGGTTCAAAACCGTATAAATTCAGGAAAAATTATCAGAGAGTGGGGAAATGTTTCCATATCTGATGTAGAGGACTGCTCATCTGCTAAAGATAACTAATATTTTTTTTAGTCTAAGCAAGATGCAGAGTAATAAAAAAATAAAAGTTAACACATTTTTGTTGCTACGTATTATTTTTCAGTCAATTTTGTGAACATCTTAAAAGTGTACATTGCGGCAGTAGGAAACAAGAAATTTGAACATAGTTAAAATAGTCTTGTACCAAACATTAAAGTACAATATATAATAATTCTAAGAACTGATGATCTAAAAATTTTTCCAAGAGTTGAAATTTCCTCAATATTCCTTTTAAGCTTTTTCCCTTGATTTTTTCTTTCTGTTTTAAAGCACTATCATGACTCCTTTACAACACTCAATATAACAAGTACGGCCTGTTATGAAATCCTGTTCAAATGATAATATTAAATATACAAAACATGTTTGTAAGAAGTTTTTCTTGTTTGGGCTTATTTGATGTGAGGCACCTCTGCTTTAGTAGCTTTTTGTGCCAAATGCACCAAACCGAGTTCTCCCTAGTTCTATTTTTTGGGGTCTCCTACCTTGTTTAAAAAGTCTGACAGTTCCTTAATACAGCTGAGCTGTAGCTCCGGGGTAGCCACTCAAATCTAGAAAAATTCTCCCCAGTGTTTTCACTGTACATATTAAACACTACATTAAGAAGAAACGCAATGCTATTGTAAATTAAATAGTTTCGTATAGTTGGAATATCATCCTTAAATACCCCATAGATTACGCATTGAGTAATCACCATTTTTCAAAAGATGAAAATAAGAAACAAAAGTCTCACTATTTTCCCTGTTTGTAAAGGAAAAAAAAGGTCAAAATTCCTTGCATTTTTCCTGTTATTTTAGGTGATTTTTAAATTCCACCTATTTTCTAGGTTTTCCCTGTGGAGTAGCAAACAAGAGCCCTTAAAGATGGAGAGTTCATAATGTAGTAAATAATTTCCCTCTGGTAAAACCCAACCCTGGCTTTTAGTAACTAAGATTTTCACAAAACTAACAAAATCCCAATTCTTTCAAAACAATATAAACGGGAAAATAAGAGAATATTTAAAAAGACAGATTTGTTATATTTCATATGATTTTGGTCCATACTGGAGTGAACTTCAGCTAATATTTTTGACAGATAGTACACATAATTATTTAAATTTCTACATAAAACATTTATTTGAATTCATGTAAAGCAGAAAATGGTATTTTTTACCTTACTATCTTCTCCAAATGTCATGAGATCATCTGATAATCTTGTCAATTCATATTCTTGATTATTTGAATTCACTTTATATATCTGAAATAAATATTTTATGAAATCTGTGGAAGAATCAGTTTAATGCAAACTATTCAAAACTCTGAGGCAGTCAAACACAAATGGGCAAATTTAAAAAAAAAAAAAAAGATATTGTTTTTGATAGATAATGCAGCTCGAAATGAATGAAGAGTTTTCACTGCATGTTACCCCCAAAAATTAAGTTTTTAGAACATTATCGGAAATTTAAAAATAAAAAAAAAATTGGGAGAACTGTTAAAAAAATTCGGATTGACCTTTTTTTGCGGAAGTCCTTCATCCCTGCAAAAAAAAAAAAAAAACAGGTTCTGGAAAAAATGTAGAGTATCTGGAAGAGATTAAAACTTTTATACACATTTACAAAGTTTTATATAATCCATACTTCTTCTTCCTATAACTAAAAATATTAGTAAATGTTAATTAGCATTTTAAAAACATTGATACACATATAAGTTTGAGAATATTGTATTGAGCGATTAATTAAAAAATAGCTTTATTCTGCCAAATGTGTGAGTTACACGGTTTTCTTTGGATAAAGAATGTTTGCTTATAGCATCCTGGTGTTTCTATATATTTTGAACAGATTTTCTCAAAAATGTTGCTCAATGTATTCTTTAATTATGATCACCTACATGTATTATCAATATATCGCTACCATAATTTCATTGCTTAATTTGTTTTATTACAAACTTACTTCACGATTCTCACCGTCAATGCATATACATATCTGCAACGATAAGAATCCTTTTAAACAGAGCTCTGAAGGTCTTTAAAAAAACAGAAATGGTGGCAGCAAAACTACGAAGTTAAATGTACTTCATCAATTTTCATCTCAGTGCATGACTCAATGATCAATTTCAATCATGCAAAATTTCTGATGACAAAATCTTTTGAAATTTTAATTTTATAGTTAAAGATAACTACATAATTATAATAGTGAATCCACAGTCCCCTTAATGTTTTAAAGAGTGCATGAACCCTGTTAAAATAAAATATTTACTTCTACAAACATAAGATTGTGATGAAAATAATGATCCGGACCCAAATGCAAGACAATATACTTGTTGATAAAAAATTCATCGGCTTCAAAAAAAAATTTGAAGATGGTAATAAAAGTTTACATAATTCGAGCGCACAGAGAGATTTGCCCATTCTCAAAACTTTCCTAATGGGAATGAGGAAAACAAAAGTGCAAAATAAAACTGGTAAGACAGCAGTACCCTCAAGACTGAAATAAAAAATTAAGGTAAAAAACAAAACTAGACAAATGACAATGGCCCAGAGAGGCATATCAGGGCAAAATGTATTCCCACGCACTATCCAGAGTTGTTGAGAAAGTCATGTTGTTAACAAGGGAATCTGTTTTCATTATGAATAAAACAAGATTCCCTGGCATCAAGATGAGCTGATGTGGCAGGGGTGGTAAGAATTTATGTCCAGAAATCCAAGAATGTGCAGCAATAGATGATTTATCACAATTTTGATAATGAACTTATCTACCATGTTCCTTTAATCAAAATTGTAAGCCATGTCTGTCTTGCCTGATGAAACCAAATTTGATAAAGCATTGAATTCATTTCAAGATTCCAAGGATGTACAGCAATAGATGATTTATCACATTTTTGATAATGGACTTATCTACCATGTTCCTTTAATCAAAATTGTAAACCATGTCCGTCTTGCCCGATGAAACCAAATTTGATAAAGCATTGAATTCATTTCTAGATTCCAAGGATGTACAGCAATAGATGATTTACAACATTTTTGATAATGGACTTATCTACCATGCTCCTTTAATCAAAATTGTAAACCATGTCTGTCTTGCCCAATGAAACCAAATTTGTTAAAGCATTGAATTCATTTCAAGATTCCAAGGATGTACAGCAATAGATGATTTACAACATTTTTGATAATGGACTTATCTACCATGTTTCTTTAATCAAAATTTTAAAGCTTGGTTGTTTTGTTGCACCGGCAACGCATTCATTCTCTGTTTCACTTTCGGAAACCACGGTTTTTTCTAATTCTGTTTTTAACTTTTATTTTAAATTTTTCTTTAGGAATTTTACATTTTTGTCAGATTACTTTTGTTTTCCCGATTCCCGCCGGGCAAATCTTAAGAATTGGTGGTTATTTTTTAGCGCAAGAAACATTTGCTCAAAAAAAATAAATTTGAAAATGGTCATAGAAGTTTACATGTTTAGAATGCTTAAAAATGAGCACCCATTCTCAAGGGGCCGCAGTCATGAATGACTTCGGGATGTGAGTTTTGAGCGCTAGTAAGACAGTACATTAAATTGAAATACTGAACATGGTATTAAAATAAGTTATATGTAAAATAATGGCCATGGTTTTTAGATTGTTAAGCATCCTTCTGGTTAAGAAAAAACATCGTTTGAGTGAAGCCTGTCCACAAAAAAAGCTGCTTTCACAACAAGCACAAGTCTTTTCCAGAATCATCCCTCTGATTTAAACAATCATTAAACTTTGTTTGGGGAGGCATTTTGCAGAGAAAAAAATTTGTGTTATCGAAAAATATTTCAAAAATGAAAACACCCGAAGATAAATAATCATTGATAACTACTCACTGATTGTTGAACTGCACTTGAAAATAGAAAGATAATAAAAAACAGTAAAATAATAAATCTGCATGAAGAAACACCGCTTTTGTAACCATAGAAACCAATAAGTAAAATATCAGCCTATTTTCCGAGTGAAAGGCAATCTATTTGGATCAGGAGATTAAAACAAAACCTTTCTTCTTATTTAGAAGTGGATGAATTCATACCTAATCTACAATAAAAGGTATTCCCCCAGTAAAATTAGCAATGTTGTAGTATTTTTCTTTTTCATTTCTCATTTTGGGGAATTAATAAATTTCTACTGCTGCACGACATTTAAAGGAAGTCTTAAAAATGCAGAAACTAAAACTTTATCTTAAGGAAAAAGCATAGGCAAAACATATGGCCTTTTTTCAAAAATATAGAAAATATAAGACAACTACGAGGCCTGGAAGCAGTTAATTATTCAAATGAAACAATAGAAAAGCTATTTTATAAACTTACTCTGAAACAATTTGACTTTAAACCGATAAATTTTTCTAATTCTTTCTTCATTTTGAAGAGTGTTATTCTTTTATCAGCATAAACCCTAAGCACTGAAAAAAATAATAAAACATAGTAAATACATGAATGCAATATACACATATATGGGTCATTCCAAAAATACCGATCACTTTCAATAAACAGTAAATAGAAATTTTTTTTAAAAAAAAAACCAAAATGGATCTAAGGTGGTTAATTACTTATTCAAAAATCAAAATCAAGCTTTAGCAGCGAACTTTTAAAAAATTATTAATCATTATACTTTAAAACTTAGACACATAGACAGAAAAATATCAAATTTTAAATTATCACCCAATTTTTAAATAGAAAAATAAAAAAGCAATTTTGCACTGGTAACACTAAGATGTGAATGTTCATTTCTACACATAGAAGATTTTATCATTATTTAAGCAGGTACATTTGTCATTTAATAAGCAAATTATGTCCCCTGTGTTAATATTTTAATATTTTTACAACTTAAAAGTTTGGATAATTTCATTAAAACACATTGTGAGAAATTTATAGAATTCATTACTGATACCTATTAGACACTAAAATATTTCCTGTTATTTTAATGAAAGTGTTTTTGTCTTTTTTGAGGTAAAAAATACATGTCAGTAAACACTAAAGTAACATAGTGGACATACATATTTTATGCCAAGAATTGAACAATTTGAAACATGTTATGATATTCATAAACATCAACTGAGCCATCAAATTAATAGAAAATTCTATTTCCTTTCATTTCTAAATTTGGATTTTTTTAGAATACCTATTATAGAATCAAACTGAATGTAAGAAAAATCATTCTCGATTACTGGAAAGTTTCTACCACTGTCATAGTCGTTGCTGCTTGATGAATAAATGTCCAAAACATCAAGTTTCTTCTTATTATTATAAGAAAAATGTTTTTGTGTTCCAAAGTTATGAGTTTAATGATCTTGTCTTACTTCTATATTGGCAGTTGTCATAAAATCTTTTGAGCCATAGCAATGACGAAATCCCCTTCTACATTGTTTTACGCATACAATGCATAAACTGTTATATTTGTGCCACATGCCAGAATTCTATCTGCTAATCGTTTTCAATTTCCACCGATTCCATCAGCTGCCCTTTTCCAAGCTCGGATTCAAGGAAAGACCATTTGCCAAACCATATATAAAAAGGCTGTGACTAAACAAATAAAAATCATTTTTCTGTCTATATTGAGTGGAAGGACCAACAGAAAAAAAAAATGAAGAGTTTCTGTCTTAGGACAGCTTTCCTTAACCATTTTCAAAATGCCCATATGGCACTAGGGTTATGTTTGTAGCTTAACAAAAAATGAAACAGTGCTAAAAGATACAGGTTTAATTTTTTCAATTCCACAGTACGAAAGCCCAGTGTGTAAAGTTATTAAATTTGCACCATAATGATGTGCTTATATTTCTTCAGATAATTTGAGGTTGTAATCTTGCTGAAATCTAGATGGATAACAGCTTCATTGGGTTTGAGATCTATTATCTTCATATTGTTTCTCAATGTTGAATACATGTTTTTTCTAGAAAATTTTTTAGAATTCTTCGACGAATTTACTTGCTAGTGTAGAAACTGGAGAAGTCATAATCATTTTTTAAACCTTCTTTACACTTAGTTTCTTTCCCTTTTTCTTCTTCATAAAGCTCATTTTTATAATTCCATTCGGCTTGTGCATCTGTGTTTATTGCATTACAAGGAATATTCCTTCCATAACAAGCGGGCGGTTTGGGATTTGACACTCATGTGGGCGAGAGGTTTTCTCTAATAATTGGACTAATAAAAAATGTACGTTTTTGGAACATAGCCAGAATTTATAAAAATTCCAAGAAAAATGTGAATTTCCGATTTTTTGCAGAAGTGTTTCATCCCTGAGTATGCCTATATAATTAAGGAAATAAAATTTTTTAAAGCCTATTCGCGTTCTCATATAATTTTTAGAAAAGGGTGAGAAATTATCCCTCACATTTTTCTGTTATGAAAACCCCGATATATAAACTTTCACAATCACAGGGGTGCTACTCGCAAAATACCAAATTGTCTCACCAGAAATTGCATTTCGTCTCAGTTAAAATCTCTTTTTGGCTCAGTTTGTCTCAGCTAAAATTATTTTTTGACTCAGTTTATCTCTGCTAAAATGACTATTAATCAGTTTGATAACAATATAAAGATAATTTTCAGGATCCATGAAACCATTAATAGCATACTAGGAGTACTACAATTATATATACATTCACTATTGCTAGGATTTTAAAAAACCTGCATATGATTGATTATAAGAGTCTACAAAATTGTTTTGTGGACTCTGTTGTTTTCATATATATTGCATTTATCATTTATGCCAATGAATAGTATCTGTTCCAGAATTTTACAAAGTAAATTTTAACTTTCTTATTTTTTAAAATATAATGGTGTTAACTTTCTAAAAAGAAATATCTATTTAGTTTCAGTAATTCAAAAGGGAAAATACCCATTTTATTTTGAGCTCAAATTTCATCTCAAAATATATAACTATTCAGTTACAATGAAAGGTCTACAGATTTCAATAATTAAAAGAGAAATTCAGTAATTAAATAATGAGAGTTTAAGAAAATGCAAATAACACAAAAAAAAACACTCTTTGATAGAATTCAGGAGGTGCAGTGAAATTTTGAAATATTTTAGGTAGGAATTTTTCAAGAAAATTTTAGGGAGCACTTAATAGCCAAAAATTAGCATATATACATTTTTATATCAAAACAGAAATATTTAAAAACTATTATAAACAATTTAAAAAGACACATATAAATATAATTTTCTTTCTAAAATGACTTGCATCCTTTATTAAGTATAAAAGTAAACTTTTTAGTTTATTGGCATTGACTAGTAGATTGTACTTTCTTGCATTCACAAGATTAGTTAGTTGACTATGTTCTTTTAATTTGTATAGCTAAATATACAATCATAAAATGTGATTATGAATGCACTTAGTAATTGTTTAAATGCAACAACTGTAGAAAAATATATCACATCTTTACAGTAACTAATTCAAGAAAAAACTTAATTCTACTTCTTTCTAGAATC